ATATATATATATATATATAATGTAATACAATAGTTTTTATATATTTAGCATGGGAGGGAAATCAGAGGTCATGTGATTTATCTCCTTGCTAGTTCATCTGGATGGTAGTATACTTTTAAATATTTAAGCATTAAGAATGATACACATGCTCATAGGTTAACTGAATATCCATAGGGAGGGCAGCTGTTTTGCCTTTGGTGTTCTTTAGGAATCCACAGTCCAGAGGTGCTGATAAAGCATTTCAAATGCGGGTATCAAAATGACACCAGAGGTTGATTAATTAGCACGAGGGATGTTTGAAATAATTTTTCACTGGTGAAGTAAATAATGTGCATGATATGTGGCCAGCTAGGAACACTGCACAGTCATCATTGCCTCTGTACCAATGAGACATAAGAATCTGGTCCCCACTTTGTGACTGTCACAGGATGGACTGGGATGTGGGCTGCTCCTTCCAGCCCCAACCTTTCAAGCAAGCTATGTGTCTGAGAGTCTGAGGACAGCGAGGACTTTCCCAAGCATATGAACTGTTGTGTGCAGCCTTGCTAATGAGTGTGTCTGGTTGGCAGAATTGCCCAAGACTTGCTTTCATCGTAGCATCTTGATGGCGAGGTTTGGAGGAGTAGTCTATAGCCCCTCATGCCAGAGGCTGCCTGTATTTGTCAAAAGAACCAAACATTTGCTGAACTATCAAATTGGGTAGGTCAGATCATGCTACTTCCTCAATTTGCAGAAGAGGAAACTGAGGCCCAGTGCTAAGAATGGGGCAGGGTAAGAGACCAGCACTTCTGGCTGGAGTTAACTGTTGGTGTCGTCCATTCCATGAATTTGAGCAATGCATGACATGTATGCCCCACTGTAGTGGTATATAGAGTAGTTCCACTGCCCTAAAAATCCTCTGTGCTTCTCCTAGTCATGCCTCTCTCCCCTAACTGCTGGCAACTATTGATCCTTTTACTGTCTCCATAGTTTTGCTTTCCCCAGAATGTCATACAGCTGGAATCATGAACTATGTAGCCTTTTCAGACTGACATCTTTCACTTAGTGGTATGCATTCAAATTTCCCCCATCTTTCCATGGTCTGATAATCCATTCAAACCCTTAAAAATTATTTGATTCAATGGTCAGAAAAGTACTCCATCAAGTTAACATCTCAAAACAGTTACCCTTGTTCTCTGAATTTACTCATGTCAGGGACCAGGGAAACCAAGTCTGCGGCCCACACTGGATTAGTGCTCACCTGGGTTCCCACTCTGGATGGAGTCTCCCAGTTTCATTTGTCCCATGTGATAGGCGCTGGGGACGCTGATGAAGAGGACTGGGAGGGAACAAGTGGGGACCTCCTCTTCCCTCTGCACCCATGTCCATCTGTGAGGCTACCTGTGAGCTGAGGCCCATCCTCACAGCGAGGCCCGCAGTGCGAAGGTGCAAGGCTTTGGCGAGTCCCCCAGGCTTAGGAAGAATTGGCAGAGGAAGGAGAAAGCTGCAGCCAGGCCTCTACCCAGAGGAATGGAATCCTGGAAGCAGAACAAAGGGGCCCATCTCCACCTTCCCCCAGGCCCTTCAGGATGCAGAGGAGGACGGTGGGGCCAGGAGGGAAGGGCCCGGGACAAGGCCATCTTTGTTTCCTCATTGTTCCTCCCTGAGGCCTCTGCAAAGACAGCCAAGTCTGGGGCCAAAAGACGCCACTTTTCTTCCATTCCTCTCTCTCTGCAGGAGCCTTCATCCTTTCATTCACTCAACAGGTATTTATGGAGCTCCAGAGTACCAGGCCGTTAGCCAGGGCTGAGGGAAGAAGGCTGAGCAAGAAGAGGAGACACACAAATCACAAATTACACGTGCAAAGCCACCTTCCTCTTGGCTGCAGAACCGTGCCCAGGCCCCAGCAGGGAGGAGGAGCCAAGAGATGGTGACTTTGAGACCAACGGGCACACACCCGGATTCTCAGAGGCTGGCATGAAGGATCTCTCATCCCTGATTATCAAACAGGCTCACACAGAAAAGTTATTCATGACTCTTGTTAAAGATAGTTAGTAATGGGCTGGGTTCAATGGCTCACACCTGTAATTCCAGCACTTTGGGAGGCCAAGGCTGGTGGATTACCTGAAGTCAGGAGTTCAAGACCATCCTGGCTGACGTGGTGAAATGCTGTCTCTACTAAAAATTCAAAAATTAGCCGGTTGTGGTGGTGGGTGTCTGTAATCCCAGCTACTTGGGAGGCTGAGGCAGGAGAATTGCTTGAACTTGGGAGGTGGAGGTTGCAGTGAGCCAAGGCTGTGCCATTCCACTTCAGCCTAGGTGACAGAATGAGACTCTGTCTGAAAAAAAAAAAAAAAAAAAAAGATGGTAAGGAAGACTTTATTCAAGCAGGAGCCACCGCAGTGGGGTTCTGCAATAGGATTCAACCCCAAACACAGCAGGACAAATGGAGATTTATATGGCCAAGGAGCAAGGTTGGGGTCAGTAGATAGAAAAGTAATAGGAGGAAGCAGGGCTAGGGCAATTCCTGATAGATCAACTCATCAGGATTCTTGCTGAAGGCAGGCCAGGCTGTTAAGCTATTAGGGTAGGGAATGAAGAATGTGATCAGATACAAGGATAGGAGATTTTTGCTAAACTGCACAGAATTCTTGCTAAAACTGAACTAAGAGTCCAAAGTCAGAAGGAGGACTCAGGCAGGGTGCAATGGTCACGCCTATAATCCCAACAGTTTGAAGGCTGAGGTAGAATAATCACTAGAGTCCAGGAGTTCAAGAGCAGACTGGGCAACATAGTGAGACCCTGTCTCTACAAAAAATGTAAAAATTAATCAAGCATGTTGGTGCATGTCCGTAGTCTCAGCTACTTGGGAGGCTGAGGTTGGAGGATCACTTGAGCCCAGGAGGTTGAGGCTGCACTGAGCCATGATTGCACCACTGCACTACAACCTGGGTGACAGAGTGAGACACTGTCTCAAAA